AATATTTTATTTATAATAATAATACTTTTATTATATTGCACCCAGTTATTTCTGGCTGCACAGCGTCACTATTATTATCATGATCAAACAAATACCACTGGACCAACCATTTCCCCTCCCAAAACAGAAACACAAAGCTAAGTGGGAAATCAATACCAGATGTTAACATCTGCCCAGTTTTACTTATCGGACCGATACCAATATTTTACTGATGTTAATGTCGATATATCGTGCAAGTAGTGTTAAGTATTTTACTCAGCAAGAGCAGAATATGTTAGAATATTAATCTTGGTATCCTGGAAATTTTCCTGATTTCAAGAAGTCTTACCAAGTGCAACTGTCTCGTTCCACTGTCAGATTCTTTCACTTAATTTGAGTCTGAATCTTCTGAAACCAAGTGAAATAATCTGCCAATGCAGTCAGACGATTCACAGAGTAGCCCTGTGCAAAGTAAATTCACAACTTTTATATTCAATTTAAAGGTTTGATATTTATTTAGTGGTTGGCAATAGCCCTGTGAGAACAGTAAAGTTCATATAATTAAAATTCTTACTGAATTTAAGACTATTTCGTTCAGAAAGAACTCTGGTTAGCTACCTCATTTAAACCGTGTAAACTTTATTTGACYCTGCCTCTAGAAAGAAGAAGAATCTGGAATCGTTGTGAACCAGAATTGAAACAAGGAACTGGAATCGTTCCAATTCAAACCCCAGTAACAAGATTAAAATAATCCATCTGACTCTCTGAGATGATGTGTTCAGTTTCCTCATCTGCAGAGTCAGGTTTTGAGTTCACTCTTTAGGCTGCTCAAGTTATCCTGAAGGAGAAACAGTTTGTTAGATGGTAGCACCTATGGACTATTTGTGCGCTTACGTTTCATTCTCTTGGCTATTGCTTCTGCTCCTCCGTTTGCTCTGTTCCATTTTGGGTGGGAACGCCTGTGCTGCAGGAGGTTTCCTCTTTCCCAGCAACTTCCTCTGCCTTTCAATGTTCKCCCGCTGTAAACCGATTTGTTCTTGCTGCCTTCAACGCACAAGAACAATCTAATGTGAGCTTTTATTTGCCTGAAGGCGGGTCTGAATGCCAGCAATTGTTTGCTGGTCTCCACACACTGACCTGATGAGGTTCTGGAAGGCGTATCCATCTGTCCACTGCTCTGTGAACGAGGCTCCATGGCGGACGGTGGTGAAGTGWCCTAAACGTAGACGGTCCTGCATGCTTTTGTCCCTGCAGGCCATCTTCTCCCGCTTTGACTGCCAAAATGATATCGTTATTACACACACACACAAAAAAATCTAATTTCTCTCAGATGATGTTAAGAAGTCAGCACTGTCTTTTATTTTCACTGCATGAAACAAGAAAGTCAAGCATTCACCTTCTCCACAAGCAGCTTCTTGCTTATCTTCACACACTTGTTTAGCCGCTCCTTGTAGCGCTCCAGCATCTTCTGTTGCTCATCTACCTGCCGCCTCAAAWCACAGTTAGCCTGCGAGAATCACATCAGCAAATGCATCACTCGCTATCAGATGCAGTTAGTCTGGAACAGAATAATAATTGAGGCTGTTGCTGCAACATACAAGCAAAAGAAGTTGCAGCTTACCCTCAGTAAGTCATCTATCCTCCCTTCTGTCTTTTCCAGATTTGAGTCTTTGACCTTCTCTATTGCTCTGAGTTTCAGCAGAGTCAGTTCTGACTGAAAGATGGCGAGGAATAAAACACAAACAGTATCTTATCTTTCCCAGATGAAACTGTTGCATCTGAGTTCAAAGTACACAGTGCCTTGAAATTCACAGAAATGAGGTGCTGCTGGGTTAAAAATTGAATGTGGTAGGCTGAAACCGCTGACAATTTAAGTATCAGTATGGAGAGAGGTGGATTTATTGTCATTTAATCATCCACATCTTCATCCAACTGCCTTTATTATTTATTACATGCAAAACAAACAAAAAGGCACAGAGCTGATGGGCAAAAACCTACATTTTCCAAAAGTAAGACACGAACATGACCCGTTAGTGTTACTGAGAATATACTAAAGGAAACACGGAAACTTTGCATAAACTGGTTTTTCACATTAGTTACCTGAGTCACTTTGTGAGAAAAAGTTGGTGCAGGAGTTGTCCTAAATGAGCTGCACGATGACGAGTCTGTGTGGGCTGAGCCCGTTGATGAAGGATTGCTGTGCTGAAACTGACAAAAAGTCTATAGAGACAGAAAAAGTATAATAGTTGTTAATGTGTAGCAATTTCATAAAACTGAGACCAAGATAAGAAATTAGCTGTAAAAGAGAAAAAACAAATAATCTAGCAAAATATCACATACAAATAAAACAGACGATAAACTGTTTGAAAAATCCACTTTAGTTCTGATTTTGACATGATAAGGACAGAACAGCTTGCAAACGAACAGCAGAACAGATGGGGGCTATGAGCGTACATATCAGTGCTCACCTGGGGATACAAAAGTGAATGCTGTGAAGAAGAGCGCAGCAGCATATGGATGCTTCCAGCAGGACCAGAGCCACTGCTGCCAGCAAACTGCTTATAGGGCAATAAAAACCAACGTACAAAACCAAGAGAAAGAGWAGGTTAGTCAAAAAAGGCTGAATGAACAAACATGAAGATGAGACGGTAAAGCAAAGGCAGAGAAAAGTACCAAGAAAAAAAAGATCAGGACTATTGATATTAGGTCCATGTAGCTTAGACTCACCTCAAAGTATTCTCTAATTTTGTGTTCTCTTCCCTTTCCTACACAGAAATGGAAGAAAGATGAAAAAGAAAARCTAACTTTTGTCTGCAGAGAAAATATAATGTGAACAATCAATAAGAAACAAGCTTATTCTGAACATGTACAGTCAATAGTAAAGACTTGGCAAATATATATATTTAAAAACTATTTTCTATTATCTGTGGAGTTCCCCAAGGTTCCATCCTAGGTCCTCTCCTCTAACATTTACAAGCTTTACAAGTCAAATATATCGTCTGCTCTGATTACTGTATTGAACTTGTGTACATATGTTTAATATATTTTATTTTATTTTTCCTTTATCCTTTGTTTTTTCTTCATTTGTTATATTTGATACCTATTGCACCTTAACACTGAAGCAAATTCCTAGTCTGTGAATCCTGTTCATTGACAATGGCAATAAAACTGATTCTGATTCTTCCACTCGTTCAAATTTTCCATAATAAAAAAAATAAAAGAGTCACAATTATGCTGATGACACATAGTTGTAAATTAGCCTTTCACCAGATGATTACAGTCAAGTTCAATTACTTATAAAATGTATTGAACAGATTCATAGCGGAATGTATGGAGGACCAAACCTATCATTATTGGAAATAAATGTATAAATATATAACTGGCGTATTAAAATAAATTATAGGGTCAAAAAGAAGTTTGACAAATAAATTATTGTGCCATTAAATCAATTACATCAATTATTTAAATATAAATGTGTATTTACATTTTAATTTTGAAGGATTATATTTTCTCTATGTGCTTTATCGCATATTTTTTGTTTATGTTTATTCATTACAAGTACATTTGTTGTAATTTGACTTTTCCAAGCCATTATTTTCTTCTTTCACATTTATCACCAATCACATATATTTTATTTAAAACATGCTTTTTCAC